AGCAGACAATTTGAGGTCAGGCATTCCAGACCAGCCTGGTGAACATAGTGAAACCCTGTCTTTACTAAAAATACAAAATTTAACTGGGCATGGTGGCAGGTGCCTGTAATCCCAGCTACTCTGGAGGCTGAGGCAGGAGAATTGCTTGAACCAAGAGGAGGTTCATAAAATAAAAATAAAAAATAAAAGGCTTGTGTTTGTATCACTGGGAAATTTTCTTTTATTGCTGCTTTGGTTATTTCCTTTCTTATTTACTTCTTTCTTTCTGTAACTATCTAGATGGATCCTCCATGTCACAACTTCTCTTTGTCCTTTTGGCAGCTTTCTGGGAGAAACCCTCAGTTTATTTATTTATTTTGAGATGGAGTTTTGCCCTTGTTGCCCAGGCTGGAGTGCAATGGCGTGATCTCAGCTCACCGAAACCTCTGCCTCCTGGGTTCAAGCGATTCTCCTGCCTCAGCCTCCTGAGTAGCTGGAATTACAGGCATGCACCACCATGCCTGGCCAATTTTGTATTTTTAGTAGAGACGGGGTTTCTCCAACTTGGTCAGGCTGGTCTGGAACTCCCGACCTCAGGTGATCTGCCCGCCTCAGCCTCCCAAATTGCTGGGATTACAGGCGTGAGCCACTGTGCCTGGACTATGCATTTTTTGAGACAGAGTCTTGCTCTATTGCCCAGGCTGGAGTGCAGTGGTGCAACCTCCGCCTCCTGGGTTCAAGTGATTCTTGTGCGTCAGCCTCCCAAGTAGCTGGGACTAGAGGCATGTGCCACCATGCCTGGTTACTTTTTATAGAAACCCTCAGTTTAATCTTTTAGCTTACTGCTGTGTTTTTCAGCTTTATTCACTTTGCTTTTTTTCTATATTTTCATTTCAACTCAGCTTTCTAAAAATCATACTTGTATATTTGTATTTATTTTCCAAGACCTCATTTACTTTTTTTTTTTTTTTGAGACAGAATCTCACTCTGTCACCCAGGCTGGAGTGCAGTGGCGCGATCTCGGCTCACTTCAAGTCTGTCCGCCTCCCGGGTTCACGCCGTTCTTCTGCCTCAGCCTCCCGAGTAGCTGGGACTACAGGTGCCCGCCACCATGCCCGGCTAATTTTTTTGTATTTTTTTTTAGTAGAGATGGGGTTTCACCGTGTTAGCCAGGATGGTCTTGATCTCCTGACTTTGTGATCGGCCCGCCTCGGCCTCCCAAAGTGCTGGGATTACCAGCACCCGGCCCTCATTTGCCTTTTTCATAATGGGCTGTTGCTCAATGGTACAGAATCTTCTGTGTTCTTTCCTGAATTATTAGTTATTTTTAAAATCTTTATTAACTTTCTCCCCCTTGCTAGTTCCCAGGTAGCTTTCTCCCAGAGTGCTGGCTTTCCTTACCTATTTGCTGACTTGTGCTGGTGTGTAACCCTTCATATTTGGGTATTTCTATTTGTCTGACTGCTGATTTGATTCCAATCCAGTGTTTCTTCTGATTTTTGGAGAAAAGACGGCAATCCTGTGAGGCTCTGGTTTGGTGGCTTGTCTGGGTGTCGGGGCTCCTCGTCCTCATGGGGTTGTTAGCTCCCCAGGTCGCCATCCCGCATGGCCACTCTCCTGCCGACGCTGCCCGATACTCAGAAGGAGGGGAAGTCGAGACCTCCTCCTTATCCTTACAGACACTGATTGTGAGCTTGGAGCACCTTCTGTGACTGGACCGCCCATGCAGTGGTCCTTTGCTTTTTGCATTTTTAACTGCAATTTCCCCCAAGAGTCTTTCCTAATACAGTCTCTTAGGAATTGATGGTGGGATTAAATAAGGCTTGTTTCTGCACTGAATACAGTCCATGGGTTGCCACTTTGCAACCTCAGCTTTAAGGCTTATCTCCTCCCAGGAAACTGATTTTAACTTTTTTTTTTTTTTTTTTTTTTTTGAGACGGAGTCTCGCTGTGTCTCCCAGGCTGGAGTGCAGTGGCGCGATCTCGGCTCACTGCAAGCTCCGCCCCCTGGGTTCAGGCCATTCTCCCGACTCAGCCTCCCAAGTAGCTGGGACTACAGGCGCCCGCTACCACGCCCGGCTAATTTTTTTGTATTTTTAGTAGAGACGGGGTTTCACCATGTTAGCCAGGATAGTCAGATTTTAACTTTTTAAGTTAAAAATGGGTATATAAGGCCGGGTGCAGTGGCTCACGCCTGTAATCCCAGCACTTTGGCAGGCCGAGGCGGGCAGATCACGAGGTCAGGAGATCGAGACCATCCTGGCTAACACAGTGAAACCCCGTCTCTACTAAAAAAATACGAAAAATTAGCTGGGCATGGTGGTGGGTGCCTGTAGTCCCAGCTACTCGGGAGGCTGAGGCAGGAGAATGGCGTGAACCCAGGAGGCAGAGCTTGCAGTGAGCCGAGATCGTGCCCTGCACTGCAGCCTGGGCAACAAAGCGAGGCTCTGCCTCAAAAAAAAAAAAAAAAAAGTGTATAAGTAATACATGTTTATTTCGGAAATTAGAAAATACAGGCCAGGTGTGGTGGCTCATGCCTGTAATCCCAGCATTTTGGGAGGTCGAGGCAGGAGGACTGCCTGAACCCAGGAGTTCGAGACCAGCCTGGGCAACATAGGGAAACCCCATCTCTACAAAAAATTAAAAATGAGCTGGGAGTGGTGGTGCTCACCTGTGTTCACAGCTACTGGGGAGACTGAGGTGGGAGGATAGCTTGGGAAAGGGAGGTTGAGGCTGCAGTGAGCCATGATCACATCAATGTGACACAGTGAGAAAAAAAAAAGGCAGAAAGAAAATATAGGTAAACAGGAAGACAAAAATAAAAGCAGGGCATGGTGGCTCACCCTGTAATTCCAGCACCTTGGGAGGCTGAGGCAGGAGGATCACTTGAGGTCAGGAATTCGAGACCAGGCTGGACAGCATGGAGAGACCCCATCTCCACAAAAAATACAAAAATTAGCGGGGCACTGTGGTGCGCACCTGTGGTCCTGCTACTCGGGAGGTTGAGGTGGGAGGATTGCTTGGGTCCCGGAGGTTGAGGTTGCTGTAAGCCATGATGGCATCACTCCACTCCAGTCCAGGTGACAGAGCCAGACCCTGTCTCAAAAAAAAGTGGCTGGGCATGTAAACTTACCAAGGAGACAAGTCTTCAGATAAAGGAAGGCAACTCAAAGGATGGACTTTCAAACATTTGCAACCAGCACTGGGAACAGTAGTAGGTTGGGGAAGAGGGAAATCTAGAACTCACGCCTGAAAACTGCCAGTCATCCAGCCCATTTTTCCTTACAGACATTTGGAAATAAGTTAATGGAGCCATTTTGGTGAGAGCCCTCAGTTCCCTTCAGGAGGCCTTTGTCAGGAAGAGGGTGGGGCAGGGTACTCATCCCCCATCCAAATCTGGAACTGAAACCAGCTTCAAAGTCAAGCGCAGAGCCATCACGATGGCTCACGCCTGTAATCCCAGCACTTTGGGAGTCCAAGGCAGGCCTCACTTGAGGTCAGGAGTTCCAGACCAGCCTGGCCAACATGGTGATTGCACCACTGCGCTCCAGCCTTGGGTGACAAAGCAAGACTCTGTCTCAAAAAAACAAAACAACAATAAAACAAAGCAGAGTGCAGGAATGGCTGTGGACTCTAGATGCCCTGCTAGGATTAGGATGGGTGTTCCTGGCTCATGGGCCTCACTGGCTCTTCTGGTGCCCTGCCACCCCCACCCCAGACTGGCTTTGAGCCCTGGAAACCTTGACAGCTTTCTAGAAGTGTCTGTCAGTTAGGTCGTGCGACGCGAAGTTGCCGTTTCTGCAGGTCAAAAAGTGGTGGACGATTGGAAATTTCTAGGCACCTCTGGTCTGGTTGATCCAAATCCTCCAACTTGTGGCACATTTATTTAGCGCTCATTTTGTGCCATCCTGCCTGCTAAGCACCTTATAGCCATTTTTATTTGTATTTATTTTTCTTTTTGAGACAGGGTCTCGCTTTGTCACCCAGGCTAGAGTGCAGTGGCGCAATCTCGGCTCACTGCAACCTCCACCTCCCGGATTCAAGCGATTCTCCTGCTTCAGCCTCCAGAGTAGCTGGGATTACAGGGGTGCACCACTACGACCGGCTAATTTTTGTATTTTTAGTAGAGACAGGGTTTCACCGTGTTGGCCTGGCTGGTCTCGAACTTCTGGCCTCAAGTGATCCACCCGCCTCGGCCTCTCAAAGTGCTAGAATTACAGGCGTGAGCCACCGCGGCCCGCTATAGCCATTTTAGAACTGTCACAGGTTTCTGAGGCACCGGATTGTTCACCATTTGACAGAGAAGAAAACTCGGGCTCAGATACTCCCCTTTTGGAATTGTTTCGGGGGCTGCCTCGTCCGTCAAACTTAAAAAAAATAACAGCATCCTGAGTTGAAGTTAAAAGAGCTGGGGTCTGGAGGCCTCTGGGCTCAGGGGCGCTGCCACTCAACCGCTGCGCCGCGCTGGGGACGCGCACGGGCAGTAAGTTCCCAGCTCTGTGGACGCCAGGTCTTAAACAAATCCTGTCGGTATTCAGTCACCCAGTGTTCCCATCAATACGATGAGAATAATGGGGACAATAGCCACCTAGTCCGGCAAAGTCAGGCGTGAGCTGCGAGGACTCGGTACCGCCCGGCAGGGGAAAGCAGGGCCTGGAGGCCGAGGAGCCCCACCCGCACCCACCACGTGGAGCCGGCCGGGCCCGCGGCGAGACCGCAGGGCGACAACCGGGGCGCGGAGCGGGGCGGGGGTGGGACTAGCAGTGGTCCCACTCCGCCGACGCCTCTCCCAGGCGGCGACACCGGCGAGCCGCTCCGCCCGGCCACCGTGTCCCTCAGCACCCGCGGACGCCGGGAGAGGAGGAGGTTGCGAGGCGCACGGCGGAGAGGCGTGGCCTCCGATTCCCGTATTTTTTTTGGTCCGCCTAGCTAAGGAAAGGTTCCCCTGCGCCTTTAAGAGGCCGACGCGGGCAGTGGATTGGGCCAGACTCCTCGGTGACGTCACGCCGGGGCCGGCGCCCTACCCCTCCTGCCGCGCCGCGCGCTCGCGGACAGTCGGCGCGCGGGCCGGGCCCCGCCGGCGCCCCTCAGCTTCGCGCGCCTGTGGTGTTGCCCCGGGCTCCGGGGGATGCCCCCGGCCGAGCACTTCTCATGGCCGCCGACGTCTTCATGTGCTCCCCGCGCCGGCCCCGCAGCCGGGGCCGCCAGGTGCTGCTCAAGCCCCAGGTGCCTGAGGACGACGACGACTCGGACACGGATGAGCCGTCCCCGCCGCCCGCCTCCGGCGCGGCCACCCCGGCCCGGGCCCACGCGAGCGCCGCGCCACCGCCGCCTCGGGCCGGGCCGGGCCGCGAGGAGCCTCCGCGCCGCCAGCAGATCATCCACAGCGGCCACTTCATGGTGTCGTCGCCGCACCGGGAGCACCCGCCCAAGAAGGGCTACGATTTCGACACGGTCAACAAACAGACGTGCCAGACCTACAGCTTCGGCAAGACCAGCTCCTGCCACCTGTCCATCGACGCCTCGCTCACCAAGCTCTTCGAGTGCATGACTTTGGCCTACAGGTAGGGACCCCCGCGACCCCCGGAGGCCCCGGCCGAAGGCCCCTGTTTGACAAAACAAGCGTGGAGGGAAGGGCCGCCTGGCAACCCCGTGGCTTCATGCATTCCCTTTGGGTCTTCCCCCTTCGAGAGGGTTTATGGATCTGGGGTTCCCCGCGTTGCCAGAGAGGCCGGGGTCCTGGCCTCTTCCCCTGCCAGCAGTGCCGGGGTCCTTTCGGGTTCACGTTCCCTATCCAGGCCCTCCCCTCCAGTGTCCTGGGGCCACCGATCTTGGACGAGAAAGAGGTATAAACACTGGCTGCATCTTGTGTTACCCGACTCTATGGACTCCTTCCTCCAAACGCTTTGTGTGTTTTCCCCATATCCAGCAGCGGTCAGGACCACCTGTTCCGGGTGACGGGAGGCTGGCTCTGCTGTTTAATGGTTGTGTAACACCTCGGAGCCTGTTTCCTCCTTCATAAAAGGGGAATGACTGTAGTGTCTGCCTCCAAGGGGCTGTTGTGGTACTGGAGTGACTTAGGTAAATTGCTTATTCCAGTGCTTGGCCAGAGTTAGGTGTCCCTGCACCTGGAGGCTGGCCCATTACAACCTCATCGGGAGGCCCTCCCCCATCTCGGGAAGGCCTTGGGTGCCTCCTAAGAAGACTTTTGGTGCCACAGCTGTTGGAGGCGCAGTCTGTCCTCCTGGCAAGTTGGAGGGTTTTCTGGCCGTCGCGAAACATTATATGAGGGAGATGTCATTGTTGAGGGCAGACATCCCAGACACCATTCTGACATGTGGATTCGGCTCTGGGCAGGGATTCCTCTTTTCCAAGTCACAGAAAATGCCTGGCCCTCAAAGATTAAAGCACTTTTCCACTCTCCCTCCCAGCATAAATATTAGGTATTTGCTACAGGTAACTTTTCTGCCTGCGCAACAGAACTTCTTTGGACCGGCAACAGCGGCCTTGAGCAGCTCGGCCCTGCATAAAGCTCTTGATAGGATCTCTGCCGAGTTGAGCTTATTACATTAGGAACTGGACTAGCTGGCGCTGTCTTAGGTCTGCTCTGCAGGCAAATAGGGAGAAGTTTCCTAGGAGACTCCATGAACAGCGTAATAAAAAAGCAGGAATATCTTGCCGTTCCCCAACCCCCCATCCTTTTTAAGAGAGCTGTGAGCTCCAAGCATATCCAGGTTTAAACATTATGCTTTTACCTGAAGTTGAAATATTAAATACTTAGCCCTGGATGGCACCCCCTCACCGCCGCTGTCCCTGGAATAAACGATTAGTCAACTTGTTCTTTGTTATGTTCCTGAAACACCCCTATTTCCTCTCTTGAAGGTTTCCCTGATGATCTGTTCCCGTAGCTCCTCCTCCCATCCCCCTTACCCAGCGCATTGGTCAGTCTCTGCTGATTCTCTGGCCTTGCCAGTTTGAGCTGGCACTCAGCCTGTAAAGATGTTCTGCTTTTTAAAAAACAAATGGTGTTGAGGCTGCAGCCCTGTGCACCCTTCAGTCTCAGATTTTGAGCACTTCCATTGGAATCAAACCCAGCTGGATCGCAGCGTATGCTATGCCTCGAGAGAGCCTTTTCAAACAAAGCTCGAGGTGAAAAGACTGGAATGTATCTTATTAAGAAAACTTAATCCTCTCATTTTAATATAAACTTCTACATATACAGAGAGAGAATGGATGATTGAGTCACGGGGGGCATGGGCTGGGAAAGTCTCACCTAAGTAAGCTCTGCTAAATGAAAACTAAATCAGTCTCCCCTTTGCACTCTGTTTGGATGACCTAAAGCCTTATTAAACAACACCAAAGAATTTTAGTAATGGCATTTTTTTTTCATTTCTCTCAAAAATATTTTGGCAGTTGGCCATTGCTCAGTTAACTTTCTTGATTGCAAAATGCACCATCAGTTTGGTGCAAGAAGCTTACCTTACTCTCTTGGCTCTCTCACTTTCGCTCCTTTTCCCTGTGCCTAAGGTCTCCTGCTGCCTAAGGTCGGCCACCTAAGGTCTGCCACCACAGGCCCTCGGATGGGATCTGTCCAGTCATTTCTCATGAAGATGCCCTTTGTCTGTCTGTGTGAGGCTGGTTTGTCCAGCCCTGAGTTTAGTTGGCAGTGTGGAACTTTGGTATGGATGACAGACGAATGACTCAAAATCAGTTGTTTGGGCTGTAGCCTGTGGGACAGAAGGAAGCTAGAGGAAGGTGAGTTTCTGACCCCAGCTCTCCTAGTGAGGACTGCTAGCTGGCTTTCGGGGAGGGAAGGTTGAGATTGGAGGCAATGAGGGGCGTGGTGGCTCACGCCTGTAATCCTAGCACTTTGGGAGGCTGAGGTAGAGGATTGCTTGAGCCCAGGAGTTCAAGATCAGTCTGAACAACGTAGCAAGACCCCATCTCTAAAAAAGAAAAAGAAAGGAAAAAAAGGGATTGGGGGCAGGGCAGAAAGAAGATGTAACCTCAGAGCTGGTCTGGTTTCCATCCTCGTGGGGTTTGTGCCTTCCCTGCTGGCTGTCTGGGTCCTCCCCTCCTGCCCGAGCTGAGGAAAGCCAGCTGGGTCTCCTTTTCTGTGTGACTGTTTCTGGCCTAGGTTCTTTCCAACTTCAACTTCCTGTCTGTCCCCTGGCCTCTTCGTTCTAGCTGCCTAACTCTCCGCGGTACACTCTGCTTTTTTTGTTGTTGTTGTTTGATTTCCTGTTAGCTGCTGCCTCCCAGCTGTTTCCAGATGAGGTTCAACAGCTCTTTGGGGAGGAACTAAGTGCAGGGGAAGTTGTGGTTATTTTTTACCGAGTCCTGAGAAGTAGCCTAGGGATTCTGACTGTGATCCGTTCCTGAACTGGCAGTGGCTTCACCTCCTGAAGGGTCTTTGCCTGGGGCTGACTTCGGGTGGGGAACAGGGTGTTTGAGAACTTGGATGTGAGTGTGTGCCAGGGCCTACTGGGTAGGGAACTGTGCAGATGGGATTCCATGTCGGTCTCACTCCGTTTTGCTGAGAAGCCCTGTGGCGAAGGTTCTTGATTTGGTCCGGAAACATGTGCTCAATTATTGGGACATTTTGGAGAGAAGGGGTTGCCTTTCCCCGAGGCAAACCAGGTGTTAATGATGGGAAAAAGCCCTTAGCATTCCTTGTCTGAACTCTAAGAACGCTATTCAATGGGAGAGATAAAATTTCCCTGCAAGGTGGAAGTGAGGATCAGCAGAGACAACCTCTGGGAATGGGGCTGGGAATGGGGCTAGTGCCTGGCAAGTAACAGACAAGAGGAGGGTTAACTGGCTCCGCATAGCAAGTGGGTTATGGCGGAATTTTAGTTCTGCATCCGCATTCATCTGACATTTATGAGGAGCCTGTGTCTTATCTATGAACTGAAGGAAATAGTGTATCTAACCAGGGTCTTAGCTGAGCTTTCGAATGCCTGCTTGACAAATACTAAATAGAAGCATTCTTGATTTGGCTGGGTGCTTTCTGAGGCTCTACAATGGAGCTATGTACTGAAGAACATAGTTCATGGTTCTTGCCTTCTTAAGACTGTAAGGAATGTCACACATGTATATCCTCCACACAGAATTTCCTTTTTTTGAGATAGGGTCTCGCTCTGTTGCCCAGGCTGGAGGATAGTGATGTGATCATAGTTCACTGCAACCTTGACCTCCCTCAAGGGTCAAGCAATCCTCTTGTCTCAGCCTCTTGAGTAGCTGGGACTGCTGGCACGCACTAGTATGCCTGGCTAATTTTTTATTTTTTGTAGATACGGGGTGTTGCTATGCCTCTCAGGATGGTCTTGAACTCCGAGGCCTTAAGCAGTCCTTCCGCCTCAAGCCTTCCAAAGCGATGGGATTATAGGAGTGAGCCATCGTGCCCAGCCCCCACCTACAGATTCTGAACACATCTAGTGTGTACCTTTTCGTGGTTGGTGTTGGTTTCCTTTATTTGCCTTTTTAGAAACTCCTTATTTCAGGGAGTGTTGGTATGAATATTTCCGGTGGTGGGGGGAAGAGATGGTCTTTTTCTGTATTTAAAGATAAGCAGTTTCTGGAAAATAGGTTTCTGTTTAAGAAGTGGGTGTTTGAGGAGACTTAAATTTGGGCTTGTAAGATAGCCTTGGGATGTAAGTTTCTAAGATGTAGCCCCCTCCATGAATGCTTTGTATAGTAACCATTCTTTTTTTTTTTTTTTTCCTGAGACAGAGTTTCACTCATGTTGCCCAGTCTGGAGTGCAGTGGTGCGATCCCAGCTCACTGCAACCTCTGCCTCCTGAGTTCAGGCGATTCTCCTGCCTCAGCCTCCCAAGTAGCAAGAATTACAGGCATGCACCACCATGCCCAACTAATTTTGTATTTTTAGTAGAGATTGGGTTTCTCCATGTTGGTCAGGCTGATCTCGAACTCCCAGCCTCAGATCATCTGCCTGCCTCGGCCCGCAAAATGCTGGGATTACAGGCGTGAGCCACCACGCCTGGCTAACCCTTCATTCTTGATCAAGGCAGAAATCTGTGCCAGACTTAAGGAATAGCAAGGGCTAACGGTTAGAGCGCTGTGTCCTTCAAACTTTGAATTTTCAATAGAGGAACCGTCTAATGCTAGGCACAGTTAACCAGTTGTAAATGGAAACCTTTCATGCAAATACTAAATTGGTTTTTCTCTTTTGCAGTCATACCGAAGATAAGCAGTGTTTCTTCTCCTGCGTTCTTCAGTCTTTAACCATTAGATAGTGCACCATTGCAGGGTGTGCACTGAGGTGGGAACTGGGGCTGCAGAGATGAAGAACATAGTCTCTCTCCTCAAGGGGCTCACAGGCTAGGCATGGGAACAGATAGTTGCAGAACAGTTGATAAGGGCTGTGATAACTGTGACCAGGTCTTGTGACACTGCCGGGGAAGGATGTCTCAGCCAGATTGTGTGTGTGTGTGTGTGTGTGTGTTTTGACATGACCAGGAGCAGTGTGGATGGTCTTCCTGACATCAGGGTTTAATGCATATCTCCCCTTTCGCTGTTAACTCTCAAAGATTACCGATTATAT